AATTAAAAATTAATATTTTTATTTAAAAATTAATAAATTTAACATAATTAAATAAAAAATATAAAATTCATATCTTTATTTATACTTTTTCTCATTTAAATTAAGATTTAACCTTGACAAAACGAGTGACTAACTGGACTAAGCAAGATGCTTGTGTTTGACCAACGATCTGTTGGGCCGAGTGGAAGGAGCTCGGTTCCCCTTAAGCAAGGTCTCGAGTTCGAGTCTTGTGAATGGAGAAACAGGCGCCGGGAGAGCTTCCCCCTAATGGGGTCCGACGCGGCTCGATTCCAGATTAGTCGGGACCCAAAGTGGTTACCGGACAGAGGTTAATACCAAAAAAAGATGCTTGTGTTTGCTTGCTAAAAATTTGACTGGCCTGGATAGCCACCGTCATTAAACGGCCCACCCAGTCCAACCTTTACAAACTAGTCAAACCCGAGCCCAAGAGAACCAAACCTCTTTCTTTATTCACTGAACCTCGAACTCAGCTCAGGATTCCGAATCTCACCCTCGCCTCCAAAGTAACCTCTAACATCTTAGCTTTTATTCAAACTCCCCTTCTTTTCCCCTGTTGATATCATCCGAGCTGTCCGGGTGTTGAAGTTGCAGAATTCAGTCTTCCTCTAAAAACCCTAATTCTCATTCCTGTTTTTGAACAAGTAATCTCTAATTCAGATGTCGCCATCCATGGTTGGCCATGTAATTAGAAATGTAGTAGAAAGCGCTTCCGCGCTTTTTTGTGCGTAGAGTTGGTCGGCGTTATAGATCTTCTTCCCAGCAACTCTTTGTCGGCATTTGTTAACATTTCCTCTAGTAATATCATCTCCGATTAAGTAAACAAGTAAGCAGGTTTCTTCTATTTCCATTTTATCCTAATCTGAATCCCTCTCAATTTCTTATTAGGTTCATGATGTGATGAAAATTTTTTGTGGAAAAAACTGTTTTCTGATTTGCTTATGTGTAAAATTTAGTATACTTTTTGCTGGAACTAGCTCATTTTAGCCATTTAGAGTGCTTCATGAATTCATAGATTTTACTTGACCTTAATTCGTAGTTTGGTGATGAAAATATGCTTTACAGTTTGTAAGACATGGGCTATTGGATGGGTACAGATGATTGAAACGATAGGCGCCTTTTCTCTTGTAGGGGAGGAGGATATTTGAAATATATTCATATTTCAAGACAATAACCATCCATGCTTTTTGGCCAGAGCAACCGGTTCAACACCATTGTAAAATCAAAGAATAGAATCTGCTTCAAAGGCAATGAGAAACCTGTGTTAATATAATGATCAAATAATAAACGTCTACATGTGAAACTGCCGCCGCCTATCTAACTTGAGGGTTGATTCTGATATAAGGCACAGCCAGTGCATATCTTCATATATATTTCAAGACATCATCAATCTTGTATGCTAGGAAATTAAAAAGCACGCCAAATCTGAAAATGCAACCAAATCAGACATGACCATATATGTAAGTGTTTTACACAAGGGAATGTACATATATGAAGATCACAGTCTCATAAGAAGTAACAAATCTTAAAAAGCAACTAAATAAAACACAGAAGTTGATGAGAGTTCTGACAGAATTAACCGAAGTACCAAACAACAAGCTATAGAACTAATTTCACATAGAAGGGAAACTGCTTAACCAAGGTCACAAAGGCAACTTGCTCTTCAACTGATCAGCCAACGCTTCGTTTTCTTCTTAAATATTCCCGAAGCATATGTTGAAACAAAAATTTCAACTAAGAGGGGAAATTGGGACCATACAAAAAGCGTAATTGGAATGCTAGCCATTGAAAGTACAAAAATTAAGGCCCACCGCTGAACTTGGAGCACCATCAAAAGAGCAGCACAAAAGCTAGCCATCATTGTTGCTATAGAAACAAAAAGAGTGAAAAGGCCAATCATCAACTTCTTAGGCAAGGACACATGAAAATCTTCTTCAGCTTGACGCGATGTTAGAATTCCCAAAAACATTAGACCTGAAGTAGATGCAGTAAAGAAGGATATTGCTTCAATTATGATAAATACCATAAATAATTTTTCACTTAAAAGTGCGGGTAACCCATTATTCTGATTGTTACCGCCTGGAACAGTAAAGGCTACAGCAAACATGATGGTAACAAGGAGAATACTGACAATAATAAAAGAACCTGATGTGTCCCTCATCCATTTCTCACGCTCTTTCACTAATTCCCTGTGGCTCTTGGTAAATACATCCTTTGGGGTTTCACCATTTTCATTTTTAGCTTCTTTGAACCATTCTGGAACAATTTTTTCCACCTCCTGCGTCCATTTCACAAAACTAGATGTTAATAATTTTTTATGAATTTAAGTTTCATTTCTGAAACACAATTAAAAAAGAACGTACAAAACATATAATATAGGAACTTGATGTTGTAGCCTAATATCTCACTTCACGTTTATATATAAAAAGTAAAATTAAAAGAATTATTATACTGTTAAGCAATTTTAGTGGGTGCAACTGAGAAATAACGAGATGACCTTAAACCATTGTAGTTCTCTTTGCATCTGTAATGCTGGGCTAGAGATTCCAGCATGTTCAAAGTCAGGCGCCAAACCCCCTGCCAAATGTAAAATATTGTTCCCATCTATATCTGATTTATTAAGATTTTCAGCCTTCCATGCTTGATTAACGCCATAAATGAGGTTGAAAACTTTTTCTTGGCGATATTGGGCTGCAACCATGAATGCGAATCTACTGTCGTGTCGTGGTTAATTTTAAAACCAAATGATGGGTTGGCTTTCAATAGCTCAGTGACAAATTCTTCTATTCCCTGCTTGGTAGCTCAAAGAGTGCAGCACCTATTCCAAAATCATCACGCTGATGATTTGATTCTAAAGTTGATACATGCTTACACATACAGCGAAGGACCTCAACTGCATAGAGATGTCTCAACTTCAAATTGTAAATTTTTTTTATTCCTACATATATATTAAGTCAATAATCAATCAAAATATATAAAAAGTAAATAGAAGATTTGCAAGTAGAAATGCAAAAGTCCCCTAAGAGGATGTTAGTGATTAAGAACTTATATATTTGTGTTTTATCTAATATTATATAACTCATTATCTGATATAAAAAACGTTGTAAGAAGCCAAAAATGTAAATAAAAATAAAAATAAAAATAAAAAACAGCTTCGGTAGTTGAGGGAAAATTACCGAAGAACACTTGGAACTTTAAACCCAATCTACGAAGTCCATCAAATACTGCAATGATGTTAACTAACCCCTGTTATAATTACATAAAATGAATCTAAAATGCACTTATATAATTAAGTTCAATAATCTGCTCTGAAACAAGGAAATGATATTTGTATTCAAGTAATGTAATTATAACTAATGTCTCCATTTGAGAAAGTAATATATACCAAGTTTTCTACTGTTCTTTTCATCATGGCCTTGATCAGTAACATGAACTCGCACTTCACTATTGGCAGTGGCGGGTAACTTTACCTCTAACCCTTCAAGACATACATAATGATGCAGATTAAATTGTATGCACGTTAATTAATTGGATCAATAGCCAAACAACAAAATTTAAAAATTAGTCATATAGAAATAGCTGAAGTATACTGATGCTGACTATGTTACTTACAGTGATAAATACATTGTTGCCAAAGCGAAAGTTTACTCCCACTAAAAAATGCAGAAGGTTGACGGGACAACATAAAAATGGGAGACTCTCCCTCTGTATTGACGGTATAAGCCAATCTTGGATGTTTTTTGAGTAGATCGAAACAAATATCTAGTTTTTCAATACATAGAAGAAAAGCTAAACAAGTTAGTCCTTTCCCCTTGGATCCTAAATATATTTCTACTAACACACAATAAAATAGTGGTGCATAAATATTATTATTCTTACCGAACATTTTGTTAGCAATACAGCAGCGAATGAGATGGAATCCATGATTGCTTTGTTTTCCTGGATCCAAGAAAACAGGTGAGGTTTTAAGGTAGAGGTAGTCTGTCATCTCCTTAAGGCCAACACCACACGCCCTAGTAAGTGGAATATTGCCTGCTTTGTCTACTATGTTAAGCAAATTTGGATTCTTATTTACTAAGGGTTCTACCAAGAACATTCTTCCCTGAAATGCAACAAAGGAGAGAGCTGTATGACCATTGCAATCTGTTTTCTCCAAATCTGGTATTGACATCATCTCTATCAATTCTTTGGCGATCTCAACCTCCTCGGCCTTGATTGCAACGTGAAGAATAGTTTCACTAAAGCCTGTAATTGATGGAAATGTTTTATGCTTAACATGCCTTGCAACTTCTTGACGATCTCCATGGCAAATTCTCTTTACCAACCTTAGACATTCATCACTATTAGTCCCTGCATTGTGAATAATTATAAGATCATATGAATATCAGAAAATAATCTATAGACGGATGGTTAGAAAATCCTGGGTTTATATCATTAAGGAGAAATAGGAATTGTTCCAGATCGATGGATGGAGTGGTTTTAGATGCAAAGAAAAGTTAAAACTGTTGAAGGGATTCCTAAAAATATGGAATAAGGAGGCATACAGGAACATTGATGTGCAGATTGAAAAGGCTAAGGAGAAGATGTTATTGGTCGATCTAAAAGGAGAGGAGATTGAATTGGAGGAGGATGATATTCAGCTAAGAAAGGAAGGTGCATGTGAATTATGGGATGGATTGAGAAAGATGGAAGGTCTTTGGAGACAAAAATCTAGAGCTATGTGGATGAGGCTAGAGGATACAACTACTCGATTTTTTCATAGATATGCTAGAAGGTCAAGAAATGCAATGCAAGGATTATGGAAAGATGGATCATGGATGGAGGATCTTGCAAGGGTAAAGATGATTGTTGCTGAACACTTCAAGAAACAATTTTCGGAAGTAAAATGGAGGAGGCCAATAGTAGAGGATGTAGAGTTCAAGAAAATTTCTACAAAGAAAAACTTAAGAATGGAGGCAGAATTCTCACTGGAGGAAGTCAAGAAAGCAGTGGAAGAGTGCAATAGTGAAAAAGCTTCAAGACCAGATGGGTTCAACTTCAAGTTCATCAAGTTCGCATGGGACATTTTGGAGGAGGACATAATGCAGTTTGTGAAGGATTTTCATGCAAACGGAAAACTGGTAAGGAGTCTAAATTCAAGCTTCATTGTGTTGATTCCTAAAACTGAAAGTCCATTAGATCTAAAAGACTTTAGGCCCATAAGTCTTATACGCACTTAGTACAACATTGTGGCAAAGGTTCTTGCTAATAGGTTAAAAGGGGTAATGGATAATATTATTAGTGAGAATTAGTCAGCTTTTGTGGGAAAGAGACAAATTGTTGTTGGCATTCTGGTGTTTAAATGAAATAGTCGATGTAATAAAAAGGAGAAAACTTGATAACTTTATTTTGAAAGTGGACTTTGAGAAAGCTTATGATTTTGTGAATTGGAATTTTTTTGAAATGTATGCTGGAGAAGTTTAGTTTTGGGGAGAAATGGAGGAAATAGATTGCAGAATGTTTATCTTCGGCTTATGTTTCTATCTTGAAGAATGGAAGGCCAACAGATGAGTTTAGAATGGAGCGAGGCCTATGTCAAGGGAATCCTCTTTTCCCATTCCTATTTCTTCTAATAGCCCGAGGCTTACACTGTTTAATTCATAGGGCAGTTGATGAAGGCTTACTCGAAGGTATTTCAATGGGGAAAGGAAATCTTCAGATCTCACATCTTCAATTTGTGGATGACACAGTGATCATGGCAAAGGCTAAAATGGATTACATTTGGATTGTAAAAGGTATTTTAAGGTGGTTTGAATTGGATCGGGCCTGGGAGTCAATCTCAAGAAGAACAACTTATATGCATTTAATACAAAGAATAACTGGCTATCAAGGGCGGCTAATTTCCTAAACTGCAAAATAGGCGAAATTCCATTTCTCTACTTGGGTATGCCTATAAGGAAAGATTCAAGGAAAAGAAACATGTGGTTACTATTGATAGAAAAGCTTCATAAAAGGTCTCACCAGATGGAAAGCTTAAACACTGTCCTTTGGTGGTCACTTGACTTTCCTCAAATCGATACTTTCTTTTCTCCCTTTGTACTATTTATCATTATTTAAATTACCTATTTGTGTGCTAAAAATTACGTAGAAAATTAAAAGAGACTTCTTGTGGAGTATGTATGGAGAGGGGGAAAGATTAACTTGGTGAAATGAGATTGGGTTTGCTTAGACAAGGCGAAAAGTGAGTTTAAGCATTAGGGATTTAAGGAAATGTAACTTGGCTTTGCTAGGGAAATGGTGGGCTCGTTTTGAGGATAATTCTGAAGGATTGTGGAAAAAAGTTCTACTTGAAAAATATTATAACACAGAGGGAGGTGTGGGAGCAAGTAATGTTAGAAGGAGAAGATTATCAAAAATATGGGAAGACAATGTAACCTCAGGGAATGAAGGCAGTGAAATCAGAGATAGTAGGAAGTGCTTTTGTCTGGGAGGTTAGAGGGGGCAATAGAATCAAATTCTAGAAAGATGAGTGGCTAGAAGGGAGAAAGCTTGGGACGGTGTTTCCAAGATTAAAAAATTTGGCAAAGAATGTCAATGTAAAAATTGGTGAGATGGAGGAGTGGTGTGATGAGGCATAGAGGTGGAAGATTGATTGGAAGAAGGCTTTGTCAAGGAGGGCTAAGGAAGATTAGAGATTATTATTAGAACAGTTAGCACGTGTTAGGATGAGAAAGGATATAAGGGATAAAAGAAGTTGGAAACAAGATGATAGCTGAGAGTATGCTGTTAAGAAGGCCTTCCATGCTATCTACTATCAAATTGCGCTGGACAATGATTTATGCAAAGCAATGTGGAATAATCGTCAGCCTGAAAGAATTTGTTTCTTTGCTTGGAGGCTGTTTTTGGACAGGCTACCAACTAAATTGAACCTAGGCGAAAAGGCATTCTAGTGGGAAGTGGCAACAACATATGTGAAAGATGCAAAGAGGATGCAAAGGATGTAACGCACATTATGCTTAGCTGCAAGCTTGCTTACCAGGTGTGGATGAAATGCCTAAGGTCGTGGGGATATTTTGCCATGCTACCAAACATAGTCTAGGAAGCTTACAGGAAAATTGTGTTGGGAATGAGCCATACTAGATCAAGGAAGGTGCCATCCTCCTTGTTTATTGTTATAACATGGTATTTATGGATTGCACACAATAATCTTATTTTTAAGGTTCAGGAGGCTTCAGTGGAGGAGGCATTTGAGATATATCCTAATCAAAACCTTTTTATGGCCAAAGGGAAGGGCTAAAGGGTTTACCTCTTCCTTTTACGACTGGACAAATAACCCTTTAGACTGTGCACTAATCATTATTTAGACCAGGAAATGGATTTCTACTAGTATTGCATATTTAGAGGACTATTGTTGATATATTATAATTGTTGGATGTAATGTACCCTTGTACCTTGCTAATAAATCATTTTTGTTGATAAAAAAAAGATTATCAAAAAATAATTAATAATAATAATAATACATCAAATATAATTGAATTATATTGATTTGTTCAAAAATAAGATATTAATCAAATCAAATAATACTTCATAAGACAATATATATATATATAGGTGGAATTGAAAGGGACAACTTGTGCAATTGTGTCACCTAGATGAGAGGGATAGGTAGAGAGATTAGAGGGAGAGCTAGAGAGAGAGAGCCGTTGAAGCTGGATTGCATAGGGTTTAGGGAGATCAAGAGACTGAAGCAAAGTCAACATTTTTAGATTGATAACAAGTTGGATTGGAAGATTGGGGTTATGAACAACTATGGCAGATGTTCAAGAAATATGGACATGTGCATGAAATCTACTGTCCAGAAAAAAGGGATAAGTTCAATAGGAGATTTGGCCTTGTGAGATTCCAAGAGGCTGAAAATGCTGCAGCATTGGGAAGGATGTTGGAATATATCCTATTTGAGGAGCAGAAGCCACACACTAACATCCCAAGGTTTGATAAGAAGAAGAAAGGACATCAAGATAAACCTGCAAGAAGGGACATTATTTTTGGGAATGTAAACAGGTAAAAGAGAAACACTGATGGAATGGCACAGAGAAGCTATGCTGATGTGGTGAAAAATCAAGGAATACAAGTGAGTATAACTGGTAGGAAGCTTTAATAGCTCAAATGAAACCTAAGAAGATCATTAGGTGGGTATGGAGAAAAATGGTGCAGAATACAGATTGGTGTGGTCTAGAGTTTCAAATAAAAGATGAAGAGATGCAATGACTTGATGGATGTTATGTTAGAATTGTTCATAACATTGCATGCATTCTCTCATTGCAAGATAGGTTCCTTGTGGAAGGATACCTAGCATGTATAATTAGACCTATGGCAAGAAAATTAATTCTGCTCAGCTCTGAGGAAAAGGAGGAATTGAAGTTCTAGTGGAAAATGCTGAAGATTGGTTAGAAAGATGGTTAGAAAGATGGTTTGAGGAAATTAAACTATGGTCTCCTTCAATGATGGTTGCTAAGACATTGGTATGAATTAGATGCCTTGGTGTTCCACCTTATGCATAGAATGCTAATTTTTCCAAGCTCTAAGTAGTTTATGGATGAAATGGGTTACGATTGATGATAATACCAGTTGTAAAAAGAGGCAGGATATGGCAGGATTTATGATTTTAACATCTAGTTTAGAAGTGGTTGCAAAAGTATTAAGAATTAAAATTAATGGGAGGATATATTTAATTAAAGTGGTTCAGGAGGAAGCATCAAATTGTATGATCAACATAAAATTAGATCGTGTTTCAGAATACACAGCAAGTAGTGATGATGATGGAAGTGTATCCATTGAAAATTCTAAAGATTGGTTGCTGGAAAATGGAGCTAAAAGCAATGTACAATGGAAGGATTTGAAGGAAGAAGATGATAAGATGGTAGAAATATAGGTGGCAAATGACATGGAAAACAACACGGTGATGGAAGCAAAAGGGTCAAGCTAGAAGAAATCAAAAGATCAGGGAAAAAAGAATGATTTCTAGAGCATAAAAGCATCTAATATGATGGAAATTCTTGAAAGGAATAATGGTGGCAAGTTGTCACGAGTAGGTGACCTCAATGGAAAAGCAAAAAATAAAGTCAAATATAAAGATTAGCAAAGTGGTTGAGACAGGGTGTAAGGAATGAAGAGTTCTGGTTGGTAATGAAGTGGAGATGTATAGCTACAGACAAGAATTGGGTTATGAGAAAGAATGTGGGCCTTTATTAGAGAATCACCAAGATAGGGCATTAAACAATGATAAAATTTGAGGCAAAATCGATTTTCTTCTGAAATCCAAGTAAACAAGTGGTCGGTAATTCTTTGAATGACAGTAGGATCATGAACTGCAATATATAATTGTGTGAAATTAAGGGATGAGGCACCAACAATTCAAAGCATTTGGGAATTTTGCAAAAGGATTTGGTGTTGAAGCAAAGGTTAATGACGACTCTATTGTGAAAAAGCTTGAGTTAATGGAGAAAAGAGACAAAGAGCAATGTTTGAAGAAGATGATTACAAGGAATGAGAAGAATGGTAAGGGAAATACAACCATTCAATGATTTTTTTGTCATATAATATAAGAGATCTGAGAGGTAGGGAGAAGAGAGAGGAAATTAGAAAGTTAGTGCTGAAGGGAAAGGTGGATATACTATTTACATAGGAAACAAAGATGAGTTTCTATTAATAGAATTTTATGTAGGGAGTTATGGGGCTTTAATAATTTTGATTGGACCAATAAACCTATTAAGGGCATGTCAAACAAACTATTATGCATTTGGTGTTCTAAATCTTTCAAAAAGGAGAAGGTATTCAATGGATCTGGTTTTACCAGAGTGTTTGAATTTTGGGATGAAGAAAACATTCCTTGTTATTTTGTCAATGTCTCTTCAACTTGTGATCTAGCTGGCAAGAGACAATTGTTGGAAGAACTAGGAAACATTATCAAAAATTGGGGAGGCAATTGGTGTGTAGGAGGTGACTTTAATGCAACAAAGTCTAGTAATGAAAGAAAGGATGTCGAGCTACTCAAGCTGAAGTATGGGATTTTGTAGGTTTTATTAAGGGGAACAATTTGGTTGATCTTCCACTTATTGGTAGGAGGTATACTTGGTACGAACTAAATGAGGCTACAATGACCCACCTTGATAGATTCATGTTGTTCCAAAAAATGGATGGATAGATGGGAGGGGATGAAACATTGGGGTTTAAGTAGAAGAGCCTTGGACCATTGCCTTATCCTAATGAAGTGTAAAGTTGTGGATTGGGCATCTAAACCTTTTTGTTTCTTTGATGCGTGGCTTAGTGCCCTTGATTTTAAGGAGCTGTTTTCCAAGAACTAGTCTTCAATCCAGGTAGAAGGCTGGGTGGGATACAAGTTAAAAGAGAAGGAAAATGAAGGAGTCTTAAAAAGATGGAGTGGGGAGCAATTTATACCACTAGATATCAGAATTGAAAGCATTTGAAAGGAAGTTATAGCTTTGGATTTAAAACGAGAATTACAGCATCTTTAGGGGAAGAAACTGAGCTTAGAAAAAAACAGGTTATTAGAATTAGGACACACTTGCAAAACAAAGAGAGCATGCTCAAACAAAAATCAAGAAAGAATTGGCTTAAGAAGGAAGATGAAGACATGGAATATTTTTATTGATGTGTTAAAGAGAGATGGAGAAGAAATGAGATGAATAGTATACATGTTGATGGCAAAAATCTAGAGGTAATGGAAATAAAGGAGGGGGTGGTAGAATATTTTAAAAACATGTTCACTGAAGAGTTTTGGCTGAGACCAATCTTAAAGAATATCTGCTTTTAGCAAGTTTCTTATGAACATAATGAAATGCTAACAACAACATTTAGTGAAGAGATAAAGTAGGCAATTAGGAATTGTAGTAGTACGAAGGCTCTTGGACTGGATGGATTTAATTTTGGATGCTTAAATGTAGTTTGGGAAACTATCAAGGGAGATGTTGTACAGTTTGTGGTGGAGTTTTAAAATTGATTTCAACTCAAATAAATTAATTGATATATATATTTATTTGTTTATTATAATGTAAAGTTTGTAAATTTACATCCTCTCTTCAACTTTACTAACAGGCTTAATTTTTTTTGTCTAATAAAGTAAATATATATTAATTAATTGATAAAATTTTATATTTATTTTTATTAATTAATATTTAAATAATATTTTTTATTTAAAATATATATCTTGTAATTATCTTTTAAAAATAAGATGCATAAAATGACATTTTAAAACAATTACATAAGAAGGCTTCCCAGCCTAGTGGCCCAGCAATTTAATGTAAACTTTTTTCACCATGATAAGGATTCAATCCCCTCCCCACCCTCTCCTCCCTTTCCACTTGGCCTAATAAAAAAAAAAAAAAACAATTACATAATGAAATTTAAATATTTTAAATTAAAAATTAGATCTATTATTAAAATTGAATAAATAGTATAATTATTAGGTTTTTTTATTTTATAATTCAAATTATATCAAATTGTAAAATCAAGATCCTTAGATGGAGAGTAAAACTCAATATCAAGAGTGCTCTCTTAATTTAAAGGTAATTGTTTTACAAATTTAATATAATATGAATTGGAAAATAATTTTTTTATACGTATTTGTCATTCTCAAATCATGATAGTTAGAATATCAGTAAAAAGAAAAGAAAATGATTAAGAGATATTTTTTTACAATTTTTATATCATTTTATATATTATTTAAATAATTAATTTTTTATTTATTTCAAATTTATAATATTATATATTTATTTATTTAATCATATATAAAAAACAAAAATTATATAAAAAGGTTTTTTTTTTTAATTTTCTCAATATAATTAGTCAAAAAGAAACTTTTTCTCAGTCCTCCTATCTCCTAGTAAGCCGACAGTTGGCATCTCATGGGTCCTACTTCTTTAAAAATGGAAACCAGACCAGGCCAGATGCCATTGTCATTAAACGGCCCAGGCCCACTCATCAATCCAGTGGTACAACCATATAACCCAAGAGAAAAATATCTTCCCTTACTTCCCTTAACCCCGAACTCAGCTCCGGCCTCCGGATTTTGAAGTTTGAACCTCACCCGTGTTTCCGAACCTCAACGTCTTAGGTTCTTCAAACTTCAAACTTTACTTCTTCTTTCCTTTGATACTAGGCAAAACACCTTCTTAAGCCCCTAGACATTATCAACTATAACAACCAGTTCCTAAACTAAAAAAATAACTTACGTAGGCCCCAGAACCCAGCAATTAAGTCAAATTAACTCTTACGCCAACAGCTATACAGAAGCCGTCTAGTCTGACTTTTCAGTAAAATCAAGAATAGCCTTTTTTCGCTGTATATCTTCCTGCATTGTCAAAACTCCAACTTCTTATGTCTGGTCTTATCTCCACCAAACAGCAGCTTAAAGAATCTCTATAACTCGACTCTTCATCTAATTTTCTGCCAAACAAACATCTATTCCACCCTATGTTCCACGACCAAG